TGTGACTGTACATATCAGTCAAGCGAAGGTTTCTGGGATTATGCAGCACTTATTACAGAATGCAGAAAGGTACATGCCTAGGCTTTATATCTGAAAAACAAACTTAAAAGGAATCAGGTTAACTCTGGCCAGTTGCTTGGAGTGTCATCCCGTAACCAAAAGGTTGTGGTTTTGTTGATTGGTCAGATTCTTGGACCATTGCTTTATTGCTTCCTATTGATAACTACCATAGTTCTGGCAGGGGGCTTAACTCGATGGAGCAATTTATTTCATCAGGGATTGACTCAATGGAGCAATTTGGGGGAACATTTTATTCCACCTGTTTCACTACTTTTGACAGGGGGCCTGATCCTGAGAGGGTCTTCCTAGGACCAACCAGTAGTGTGTGGGTTCATGACTTTATGAAGGAAAGATTTCATAACATGAGTTCAGGTGACTATGAGGGTGTGTTTTAATTTCTTTTAATTTTATTTATTTTTAGAGAGAGGCGAAGGGAAGGAGAAAGAGAGGGAGAGAAACATCAATGTGTGGTTGGCTCACACACACCCCCGACTGGGGACCTGGCCTGCAACCCAGGCATGTGCCCTCACTGGGAATTGAACCAGTGACCCTGTGGCTCATAGGCCATCACTCAATCCACTGAGCCACACCAGGCAGGACTGAGGGTATGTTTATTAAAGCTGAGGACAATAACACAAAGAAGGGCTTGGAATAAAAGAAGCAACAAGAGAGCCTAGGCTGGGCTGCCTTAGCTCACTGGAAAGTCAGAGAAAAGGGGTTTTGGGGATACGTTCAGGGGATTAACCCGAGCAGAGATGCTGCTGTCCATTGCTCCCCTAATTGCAAGCTTAGAGTTCCTTAGAGTTTAGGAGAAAAGAAGTGAAGGAAGAAGAGGGGAAAGAGAATAGGGTAAAAGGAATGGTGTGGGCTGCTCCCCAGAGGGAGAGCACTGCTGAGTCCTTTATCTTGAGGCTTTTATCTCTCTCTTGCTGACAGGGGAATTTTAGGAGAGGTCTCAGGGGACAGTTTCAGCAGAATATTCATTAGTTTTCCAGGTGTGTTCTTTCAGGGTCGTGGTCTCTACTGATTGGTGAGTGCCAGGGCAGGGGGTCATTAGTCGTTTTATCAATAGTTGGTCCTGGTGTCACCTTTTCTGCTGCCTCTCTGAGCCTGGAGCTGAAATACAACTGAGGCCTAAATGTTATCTCTAGGGAGGCGAGCTTCTGTAGCTGGCTGTAAATTGTTAGGCTATTGTGTTTAACTGTCTGTTTCAGTTTCCCTATTCCACTTGCCAAGGAATTTTCTTAGCTTCTTACTATCCTGCCTCACTTTCATTAATTCATGTACTCAGAATTTTTTACTGAGCATTTACTGGTTATTAGTGTATTACACACTGGTTATTAGTGTATTACCCACTGGGAATAGAGCAATGAAAAAAAACACACACACATAACCCCCACATTCTTGTAGCTTACAGTTTAGTGGGAGGGCCACCCAAAAGGGAGTCACATCATACTCACATTAAGCTACATGAATTTAATCAATTATGTAATTATGCTTGGAAGGAAGAGAAGAGAGAGAACAATTAAAATACTACAACTGGAAAGAATTTAGATAACTATAATAATGACATATCTGGTACTCAAGAAACACTTTTTAAATTATACCAATGTAATAAGGAAATGCATGGAATGCTATGAGAGTATACAGCTGAGAGAACGAAACTAGCAAAGGGGATCAGGAACACTTTTTTCAGAAAGTAACTCTAAGCTCAATGGAGACGGGGGTAGGAATTAACCAGGAGTCTGTGTTGTCGGGGGTGGGTGAGGAAGAGAAAGAGCTTTCCTAGCAGACGGAATGACATGTGAAGACCCTTAAATGCAAAAAAGGTGTTCAAGGGACTGAAAATAGTATCACTGGAGCATAGTGAGGCCTCAGGAAATGAGATTCCATAAAGGTGAAAAAAGGGGCAGGCAAAATCATAGGAGACTAGGGATTGCAAACACAAGTGCCTGAAGGATTCAGGCAGGCAGACCACATAAAGGTAAGAGTGATATAAACAAAACCAGCATGCACATGCCATCTAAAGAGGACAGCCACTACTCAACTCGAGCTGATTACTGCCATAAAGGAAAGTGGCCAGATCTTCCAGCTTTTCAAGAAAAACTGGAAACCTAGAATGTAATATGTAATCTTCCATATTTTTTTAAATTATGTTTATTTAGAAAGTTACAGAGATAGTAAAAGTGAACCAGTTGGGCTGAGTAGATTAAGGAAACAAGTTCCAGAGGCAGAAGAAGAGCTCTTGGAGCTTAGGAAAAAGGCAAAAGTAATGCACCTGGGGGAAGAACAGAGGGAAGGGAAATGTATGGCTATGCTCCTGAGAGGAAGACTGTGCCAATCTTCCACATTTTTAATATTAGCATCCAATTTTTTAAAATTAAGACATTGTGATGGCAAACAAAGTGTACATCAGCAGTTTAGTTGGAGCCTGTCGGCCACAAAGTTTCAAAATGATATTTTAACATATGGAGTTTGGTATATCATGAGTTCCTAGTGATACCCTAAAAACTGAAGATGTCAGGAGGTAATATTCCTCATACGTGGATCCTGAGTTGAGAAGAGAGACCTATGCTGGTGATCGGTATTTGGTGTCATTCTTATATAATTGTTCATTAAAGCCATTAGTGTGAATGAAATTGTGAAGGAAAAGAGTTTGGAGGCGTGGAAAAGCATCGCACATTGAAGTTTTTGGCTGAAAAATGGCGAGATGGAAATTTTAATAAATGAGTCAAGGTCAGTGATCTTTAAATTATGTTAACTTAAAGCTATGTTAAAACATTAGGCTTTATCCAAAAAACAGGAGACCATGAAAAAATTTCAGGCAATAGCAGTATGAGATTAATTTTAAGAAATAACTTTGACTTCAATGTGGAAGACATATGGCTAAGCAAGGAAAGACCAAGGCAAAAAGACCATTTAGGAAGCCACTGTGGTACTCCTTTAAAGGTGCTGATGGCTCCAACTAGGGAGAGTGGACGAGTTTGAGAATTATTTTGGATGTACCGGGTCTGACAGAAGTAATGCCTGCTGGAGTGTGGTTGGTAGGGTGATAATATGGGTATAATAATTTAATTTTAATTTGATCATTTCACCTAAAATGTCATATGGTGTGCTTGAGTGTGATATTGTTATGTTACAGAATTACATACTTATGATTTTTGTAATAAAAGAAGGGTATTATTTGTGCCAGACCTTGTATTTTGGGTCCAAAGATAGGATATGTCCACTCTTATATTTGCTAGTCTTTTATTCCCCAGTATAGAGTCCATGTTTTATTATTTCAGTTTTTCTCTAATATGCTAAATGCCTTTGCCTCTTGGCCTTTCTATCACCTCTGCCTGGAAAAACTGTAGCCCCAACGGATTCCAGTCATCATCCTTATGACCTTCTCAGTACCAAGGCAACTAAACACAAATGGAGAAAGTCGCAAAAAGAGTAGAAGGTAGTATCTCTTTCCAAGCACAACTGGGTGACCCCCAACCACAACTGGGGGTCACCAACCACAACTGGGTGACCCCCAAAAGTTGAAGACAATCTTCTACATTTTACTACTCTCCTCAATAACAACTTCATACTGTCTCCACCTTTCTCAGCTCTGATCCACCTCCCCACTCCCCAGCACCTTCTCAGCTAATTCAGGAGAAATTACCTAGCTTCATATTTCTCATAGAAGAAACTCCCTCAGAACTTCACACTGAATCTAAAACTCTGTTTTGCATCTATCTTCTTTTAGTCTGAATCAATAGAGAATATCCCTCTTCTCCTTTCTAGTGTTGTCTGTGCTTGGATCCCATCCCCTCTCACCTTTGCATGGACCTAAATCCACCAGATTATCCTTCTCTCCTTTATTTTTTACTCAATATTTTGTAATATCTTTCAAACATGTCTTGAACTCTCTTGTATTAAAATTGTAAAGAAAGAAATCTTAATCACCATAACAAACTTCATCCCTGAAGATTTTGTTTTAGTGTTGCTTCCACTTGGAGGTCCCCCTGACACACCTGTTTGTGCTGGATGCTGTTCCTCTGTGCTTGCGGGGCACCTGCTCATGTCTGCATCACAGCATCTCTCATATTGTATATTGAGTTTAGTCTACTACTAGACTGGGAACTGACTATGGGCAGACACTGTATCTTAATCTTTGTAACCTAGCAGAGTATTCGGTGGGCGTAGTGGTTGAATCAGTGAGGTAAAAAGGTATCTTGGGCACATATGTTTAACGTTCTTAGGAGTATGGGGGTAAGCTATGCAGGAATGGAATGATGAATGGCTGACTAGGGAAGAATTCAGATTCCCTCCCTCCCCCACCATAGTAGCAAAGGTAAAGGTGAGTCAGAATAAAATAGTTTGGGAAACTCTTTCAGAGATACACCAGTGAAGAATCTCAAACGCATACTGCTGAAATCTTCAATGTCCAATTTCTTTTCCTTCCTATTATATCATCATACAGGCTCCTCCTCCCCTACTTTGTACTTTCTCCTTCAATTTTTCATAAGGAAAAAAAGGGGAGATATTTATTTTCTGGCTCCTTCATATGATCTTTCCTTTTGCGTCCCTTCGTCTCAAGTTCCAGCCACTTTCTCTGAACACAGTCGCTAATTTTTTGTTTCTATGTGACAACTTACATCGTGTCCGTGTGGTTGTGCTCTATGGCTTCCAGCAGAGGGGTGGTGGGTAAATACTTCTGGCGGGAGACGATAGGATATGCAGAGATAAGAAGTTTTGTACCAGAAAGCCGGTAACGCTCTGCTCAGCATTTCGCCCTTTCCCCAAATCCAGGGCTACCCTCAAGCTTCTAGGATCACAAGTCCCGCAGGGTCACAAGGCGTGGCCTCGGCTGGGGAACCGCTGCCCTCGATTGGCTCCGAGGGCCCAGCCCCCGACCAATCAGGCATGGGGGCGTTCTCCGGGGGCGTGACTCCTGACTCCAGCCTCTTGCGAGGCGCATTCCCGGGTTCCAGGCGTCTCCGGAGCGACTCTTTCCTCTCGGGTTGGGTGCTTCTCCTCGTCCTCCGGACCAGGGGGCCAAGTGGAGCATGGCCTCAGTCACTGTGGCAGCAGCAAGACGGAGCCTCAGTCGAGCCCCTCCGATCCTACTCTGGCGCGGCTACCAGACGGAAAGGGGTGTCTACGGCTACCGGCCAAGGAAGCCCGAGAGCCGGGAGCCACGAGGCGTCCCGGCGCGCCCGCCAGGTCCGAAATGGGGCCGGGGCGGTGGGCTGGGGAGCTGAGGATATAGTGGTCCTTCCTGTCAGGCCTGTGGTGGGGTGTTGTTGCAGAGAGGTCGGGCTTCAGGGGGTCTGCAGTCTGCGCGCAGGCCGGTGAGGAGGAGGGTGGGTGAGGGGGCAGAGAAAGGCAGACGTGGGTATTGTCAGTGTCGGGGTCCCCCTCTGTCCAGCCACTGTGGTTGAGGAACTTTGAGGTCAGGGTCTCGGCGTCGCTTCCACGCTCGAGTGATCTTCCCGCCTTCCGAGTTCATGCTGGTTTTGTGAGCTCTTTACTTTTCCATCCCTTGGTTGTAAAGTTGTGGGAATTCAGCTCTCTGCGGAGGCGGGACTGCGGGAAAAGAAAAGTTCTAAGCTCTCGCAGCTCCTGCAGTTGACCCAAGGATCCATTTCAGGGCCACGTCCAAGGCTTGCGTTAGCGGGGCTGTGGGGATCACGACTGTGCTGCTAGGGTGAGGAGGGCAGTAGGTGGGGTTGGATCGCAGCGTGGTATTTATTATCTGCATATGTCCTCTAGATAGCTTCTTTAATTTCAGAGCTCTTAACTCTGAATTTCGAATTGCGAATCATGTTGCGGGAGTTTTAATGGACTAAAGGACTTGAGTATCCGTTTTTGGAACCTCTCTCTTCCGTTGCATGCTCATGTGCCAGAGATTAATTCTGATTATTTGATTTAGGTTCCAAAGTTATTGTGTTTTCATTCATCCTCACAGAAGAGAAGATGAATACAGGTCAATTATCAGAATAAAGTCATTTGGTATCTTTGATCCAGTTATTAGATTAACATTGAAGATCCCCCCCCCCCCCGCCCCCCACAATCATCTAAGCACCTGACCTTTGAATCTTACATGACGCACTGGAATCTCAGTATTTTGCTCTTGACCTCAGGGGACATTTTGAATAAACCCAATTTCTCTCTCTTGAATGCATTGGGGTTTCTTCAGGGAAGGTATGGGGCCAACTACATGGTTAATATCTGAGGGTAAGATAGGTGCCTTCTTTCACTTTGCAAAATGAATGTCAACATTTTTATGTAATTTTTCAAACATAGGTATGTGTTCAAATCACTCTGAATGATATTTAAAGGGCCAGTTTCCAGGCCTCCTTCCCACTCTGTTCCTCCAGGTTCTAATTCAGTGTTCTGAGATGAGGTCCAGGAGTATGTGTTTTTATCAGGCACCTCAGGTAATTCTCCAACAGGAGGAGGTCCATGGCCATCCACGGCCAATACTCTTACGACAGTAAGGGATATATTTGCAAAATGTGTTTGACAGTCTCTTCTTCATTTAAGCTCATATTAGCATATGCTCAGAGCATAATTATTGTGACCTTATTTGAAGTTTTCTCTCACAATTTGTCTCTATTCGATTCCTATAAAAGCCTGACAGCTGAACAGTAATTTTGCCTTGGAAAAACCTGGGCTGGGGGTTCTTAACTGAAATACTATATGCAAATAATCTTGGTAGATTTGGGCTGGTGTTTTGGAAAAGTCTCTGGAAGAGTTGACTTTATATATAATCACCCCTCTTACCCCATTACCAAAATTTCCTCCCTTCCCAGTAGCAATGAACTTGCTTGGTGAAATTTTGAATGTCCAGTATTGAGTTAGAACTGCAGGCCAAGGGTATGATCTTGTGTGTACTGGGAGGGAAGAGTCAAAACAATACTGGGAAACAATTGTTTTTTGCTCAGTCACAGGATTTCGCTTAGGGAATTTTGTTGCTAAGGGTAATGATATTGTTTTCATTTTCCTTATGTTTTTTATACTTTAAATAAAACTGAAAAGTAAGTGGACCATTTTGTAACTTTCTTCAAAACTATCACTGCATGCAGATCTAGGACAGTTTTTTCTTCCTATATTTTAGAACTTGTCACAATATTTTGTAATAACTTCTTTTGTAGATCGTTATCTCCTACTAGGCTGTTTGGGAGAAGGGGGAAGGAGAGTTACATGTATCACATCCAGTATTATTTCATTGGCCAGAACCTGGTCGTCTCTCTATATATCTGCAAGGGAGATCGGAAAGCCACAGTCTTTATTCAGGGTTGCCATGTACCAGCTAAAAATTATCTTGAGAAAGAAGAGGAAAATAGATATCAGAAAATAACCAGTAATCACCACTCTTGATACTTTTGGCCACTCAAATATCCTAAGCTTTTCTTCCCATACAAAGAATGTGGTCCTCTCCATTCAATTCCTGAATCCAATTCAAAGTCCATTAACTCTGGAGAATGTGCAGTTGGGCTGTGACTCCTTGTAGTGTAGAATTTTATGAACTGCCATCCACCCCATAAGTACACATAAAATTTATAAAGAAAACTTCCATTTGTAGAGGGAAAGAATGGGGAACCTGTGGGAGCACCTGGTTCAAATCCGTTATCAAATCCTATTGGGGAGCAATGATAAAAGCTCCTTGATGTGGCTCTGTAGTAAGTTCACGAGTTTATTTGGCTCTTCAACTCTGTCCTCTGTCCATTTCCTTGGCTTTGCCTTATGGGTTCTTCTTTATCCATTATCTTCGGTAGCCATATCTGACATTAACATGCCTTCCTTGGGGACTGCACTCCTTTCATAGTCTATTTTGATAAGGTTAGGAGCTTGAAAGTTACTTTAAGGGGTCATCAGTTACAGGATATTTTTCCTGGCCAGAGTTGGGATTTCTCTGGCAGTACAATTTTTTTTAATAAAATTCATAGTTCTGCACCCATTTTGCTTCTGATCATTCCACGAGCAATTTGCTCAGTGAAAGATCTCATATAGATCTAATACTTAAGCCAGAAAATTCTAATGTTTTACTTACTGCTTCTGTGTTCTACTGATTCAGCTCCATAAATTTAATGGTTCTTACCTTGAGGTCAACCAAAATAATAGGCTTGAGTGGGAAGGCAACACCTTTTATTGGATCTTGAAGTCTCAGCTGGCTCCCATTGTCTACCAGAGAATGCTTACTAGAAAGTACTTGATGAAGGATTTGTCTGTTCTCTTATCTCCTGTTAGACACCATTTTCAGAACCACCTTTTCTGATTCTAATTTTCCAAACATGTCAAGGTCTGCCTTCTAGGTACTGAGACCACAGACAAAGTACCTCCATGCAGAGTGAATTTCCTGCCATCTCTTTTTGCTGATCAGCCAGCTCCAAGTTGACCTCATCTTCCTCCCAGGGCTTTCCTAAAAGTGGCAAGAAACAGTGGACACATGCTACTGAGTTACAGGCTCTGTGGGCATGTAGTTTGCCTTTCAGGTTCTGAGATGAGGTTCAGGAGTGTGTGTTTTTATACTCTGTAGGCTCTATAGAGGTGATTTATGGATATAAATTTCACTAAGGAAGATTTGTGTTTAAAACATGGCAGAAGATAGTGATCATCAGGAGATGGGAACCATAGGATTCCGAACAGGTGACAGTTTTACCAAATGTTTGGTCAGATAAGATAATACTGCTCATCCACTTTTTATTCTGAACTATATGGGTCCTTGGTACCCACTGCCTGGCTGTTAAACTAGTCATGCACTTTAGGTTCTATTTTAGCAGCAAACCATCTTGAGTACCAAATTTTGTATTAGATGGGATAAGTTCAGGGGCTGTGCCAAACACCTGGAATGATAATGACAAGTAAGATAAGTAAAAATCTAAGCTGGTATGACGGCTTTGCTCTGCAATGTCATAGGGAGTCTATGTTGTTCCTTCACCATCCTCTGGGTGTTGCTTTCAACTCTGGTCTGAGATGGCTCACCACTATGTCCACATACTGGCTAGCAGGAAGGAGAAAAGGGGTAAGGGAAGACCCAAAGATGCAGGAAAGACCCAAAGAGAACCAGGCAAGACCCAAAGTTTCCTGTATCACTTCTACCACCTTCTTACTGGTCAGAACTTACTCATGTGGCCACACCGGCTGTATGGAAGGCTGAGAATGTGTATCTCTATTTTGGGTGGTCATATACTCAACTATCTATTACCATGACAGAGAAGAGACAATGGATATTGGGAATTATAGCAGTCTCTGCTACAGATGTATTCTAGAATGTGTTCATCTCTTTCCATTCAGTTCTTGAATCCAGCTCAAACTCCGTTATCTCTGGAGAATGGGCGGTCCTCTCCATCAGGTCTGGCTGCAACTCCTCATGAAAGAGAAGGGAAAATAGATATTGGGAGTTACAGCAGTCTCCTCTACAGATGTCTTATAAAATTCTGGGACAAGCACTCTACCTTCAACTTTTTCACCTCATACTTTATATCAAATTTTGAGCACTATGTTTCTCAAAGCCTTGCTTTCTTTTTTACTAAGATCATAGTTTAGTCCTTTAATTCTAGTCTGCTGGAAAAAAAATTTAATTCAAGCGTTCTTAACCTGAGTCCATAAACCCTTACTAAAAGGTTTTAGAGAGTCTGTGAACTTTGCACACTTCTGAATGTGTATTTGTTTCTAGGCAAAGGGCTCATGGCTTTTGTTAAATTCTCAAAGAGATCCGTGACTTCAAAAAGCTAAAACTGCTAACCTAGTTCCCTTCTTGCTTAGCTCCGCCTTTCTAAAACATTGATTTCATTAAGTCATTTTCTCACTCAGGTCTCCAAAAGCTCTACTTTGCCTTTCAAAATAAAATCCAAAATCTTTAACTTGATATTCAGTGCCCTTCATGTGTCTTGACTCATTCTGCCTTCTTTTTAACCTCCTTCCAACATAAATGCCCCCACATTCCAGTCTTGACCCAAAGTTTCTTCTCATTCTGTGCCATTTTACTTTTTACCCATTCTTCATGGCCCAGCTCCATTTCTATTCCCTCCATGATATCTTTTCAGACAACACCAGTCTGTTGTGATCTGAACTCCCTCAACTCTCAGTATGGAACACTGTGAACTCTTTTGAATTTTTGGCATGTGTTATTTTATGTAGGGACCATCTTCCCACAATTTAAGATTCTGCCTGGTAAAGACCTAGTTTTATATTTCTCTCAGTTCTACACTTAACTG